AAGCATCTCCGAACGTCTTAAAATAGGATTCCTTTCTGCCTTACTACATCGATCACACATCCAACCCTAAAATCTCGATTGTTTCTCATATGCCTCTGTGATGGTTTGTTTTATTGTGGAATTTTATTATGCTGCCATTTGTCCAACGGCGATTTAATCCAGATGAAGATTCACTGAGTTAAAGCCAGTTCTTGTGTTTTTCAAAGAGATAAGGAAAACACATTTATCCCATGTAGGATGTTTCCGTGCCCAAAGCTTACTGAGATACCCTCCAGGCAAGTCATGACCCTTCACTGGAGAAGCGGTTATGGGAAATAGATGGATGAATGAAACAAAGAGAACCTTGAGTGGTAAAGTATCCCTGTAGGGAGAAGGAAACCTTGGCAAAGTCTTGTCTGTTATGAAAGCCTTGGGGTTACACCTGTGTGTGGAGTACAGTACTATTCTGCTGGTGTGTGTGTGTGTGTGTGCATGTGTGTGTGTGTGAGCGGGTTTACCTATCCTTATGGGGACACAATGTCCCCATAACGTGATAAATATCCGTTTTTTTCCCCTTATGGGGACCGGTTTCCTGGTCCCCATAAGGGAAAACTCTATTTTATAAAAATCGGTGACTGCTATGAAAAAACTAAAAATGCAAAAACTCTTTTATTTTGTTAGGTTACTTATGGTTATGGTTAGGGCAGGGTAGGGGTTAAGGTTGTCATAGTTAGCGTTAGCATTTTTCCCATTGAAATGAATGAGCGGTCCCCATAAGGATATGTTTACCGTACATGTGCGTGTGTGTGTGTGTGTGTGTGTGTGTGAGTGTGTGTGTGTCTGTGTGTGCATGTGTGCGAGCATCACAGCATCATAAGAATAGGAGCGACCCACACTCGACCTCTTGATCTCAGGGCGAGAATATCTAATTCCCCAGAGTACTTTGGACATGACAAGTAACATGACTGAGAATACTCTGGATATGACTGAAAGTACTTTTGGGCATGATTTTTTTATAAAAGAATAGGATTTGTCATAAGTTGGTGCTGCTGCCCCAAGTTGTGGTGACACAAAGCATTTCGGACAAATGACTTGCTTTTGCTCAATATTGTCACTATGGAATCCAAAATATTTCCATACAGTGGAAGACAAATGACTACTGGTGACCAGCTGTTATTTGCTTTCCTGCTTCTCAGTCATTTTTGAAAATGTCTCAGAAGTGTCGCACCCTGTCTATGAGTGGGTCTGACAGCCAGCACAAGAAGTGTTATGCTGGCTTGGGGAACACCTGCAGAGTGCAGAGTCACTTTATTGATCCCCATGAGGAAATTCTCTTTACACAGCTTGCTCTGAGGACACAGAGGAAACTCACCCAATGTGGAGTGAAAGGGCACAATCGAAGGGGATTTGAACCCACAACCCTGTGGCATAAGGCAAGGGTACTACCCACTGACCAACTCTCAATTGTGTGCAGTAAAGGGTATATATCTCACTTTGGAAATCTAAAATGACCGTTAAATTGATTTATAGAAACGGCTAAAAAATGTTAATGCAGAAATAATAAGCACACACTGGTGGAGGAAAAATTCATGGAAATTTATTAAAATGAGCCCAAGTTTGCTGAAATTTAAGTAAAAGCAAAAGAAAGATGATGCTCATTCTGAAATAGCCATTTAATATTGAATTTTAGTCTGCTATGACTTTGCTTGATACTTTAATTTAGCCGGTATGAAGGCATAAAAAGTTACTATGAATAAATCTAAAAAAAGCTAGGTTTCTTGTCAGTACGTCTTTTTTTGTGGAAAGGAACTGATGGTGACGTATTGAAAACAATAGCAAGCCAAAGTTATGGTAAAAAAAATCATAAAATACAGTGTCGGAATATCAGTGTGTCCACTGATCAGTGTTCGAGTCGCACTTCTATATTTTTAAGCCGCAGTAAACACTGAGGATGAATCCAACTGTGCTTTTCCACTGCAAACCGCATCTACTGCATGCAACTCCTGTCTGTCTCACTGCATTTTATTCAAGAACAGCTGTCTAAGGACTTGTCAAAACCAGCGATTGATATGAAAAAGACAATATAGCACAACACTCAGGAGTGCCACCGAGTAACAGTGACTATTGAGTATTGTTTCCTGTGTTCTGAGAGTGTTTCCTGTCGGCAGCACGAGGCCTTAATGACTTTCACTGATCAGATCGGGGCCCCGGCCTTGAACTTTAATCAGCTTAATGTTTGGTACATCCTACTTCATTTAAAATGTAAAAGATCATGCATTTTAAAATAAGCTGAACTCTACAGGCATTCATATAGGATGATTTTTGCCATAGCTTACAATACTGTGTTTAGGTTTATGAAACAATGTGGCAGTGAGTGTGACCACTGTGAATTTTTGTAGGAACTGAGAGGTAGCTCTGTTAGCAAAGTTCTGAATCCCAACCAGAGTATACCCCGGTGTTGGGCCCTGTGTGGCCTGGGGGGGGCACTAGTCAGTCCCCTGTGACCCCGCATGGGATATCCTGGGGGGGTGACCGTACCGGCCCTAGCCTAGGCGGCATCACTGCCAGCTGGCACCCCTCAGAAGGTGACGCAGTAGACGGATGGATGGATGGATGGATGGATGGAAGAAAAGAACAACTGAATTGTAGAAATGCAATGCATACGTATTTCACAGTCTAGTGAAAACATATTAACATATTATAAGAAACAGAAATTAAGAATAAAAACACAACAGAAAGTTATTCAGATTTTTTTTTATTGTGTGTATTGCTGGCATTGGTGAGAATGGGGGTGCATCTCGACGGCCCTCTCTTCAGATAGGTATAATCCTTTATTGACCATCGCACAGGTACAAGTGCACATAGGGATTTGTCTCCTTGCCTGTCCCATCTTGCTCTTCATAGCTTGGGGGTTGCAACACAGGGTCAGCCATCGTGTGACGCCCTTTGAGCTGAGGGCTGAGGGCCCGACTCGGGGGCCCGTGGATATGTGATTGTTCTGTTCAGGCTGGGGTCCCGACTCGGGGGCCCGTGGATATGTGATTGTTCTGTTGAGGCTGAGGGTTGAACTAGGGAGCTGCTGATCACAGGCACAGAGACGTGGCCCCCTGAGCCTCTCACCACTACCCCCCCTTCACTGTCCCCATATACACCCATAATTATTTTCTAGTGTAGATCGCATGACATTTTGAGGTGCTTTTATGACTGAAACCATAACAATTGGCTAAGACTTTTGTCTGAAAACAATTAAGCCATTTTTTTCTAGGAAATGTTTAATGGTCCAATAACGGAGAATACATTGCACTTTGCTTATAAACTCATTAGTGTATCTGTTGATTGCATGATCACATATTAAAAAAGAAAAAGTTTTGTCGACTGCATTGTAGCTGAAGGAAAAAACTATTTAAGTCTCTGATGATTTTTCATGATTTATGTTTATATCCACTAAAGCCACGTTGGGCTCCAGCTGCCGTCTCCTTGAGCCGGCCTCTGTCTTTCATTGGCAGCTAAAACCTGGGTCATAATCTATATTGAACAACTTTAAAGTAACAGCGGCGATGGCTCCACAAGGTTGGCTCGAAGGCAACTCCCCTCCTACTGTCCATTAAGTGATAATGGTGTTTCAGCGGCATGTCTGAATGACCTCCTCTTTCATTTACGCTACCCCTCCAAAAAAATGCCTCGTAGATAAGCGTGATGGGTCAATGCTAAGGGCTGGCAGCGCGTGAATTTAATACCGATACGTTTTTTTTCCGAGTACACTCCGTGGAGCATAAGAGCTCGAAGCACATATTAAAATAGAAGATAACGCTGAACTATTTGAAGAGGATGTCTGTTCCTGCAGTCGGCAGCATATACTTAAAGGTCCTCGGAGCAGTGAAGCGGCTCTTGAAATGACCTGGAACCCTTTTTCACCGGCTAGCGCTCATCCCTGGCGCTCAGTCAGCAGATAAAGAAGGACATATACACTCATAATTATTTCTCGGACGTGCTGGTTAGTGGGAAACACGCTGGGCCATTAATAACAGTTACCTTCTGCACCTCTTGCTACTTTGGCCAAGCTGCTCTGGCCCAGTGCGGTAATTAAACCCCAGACCTCTCATTGTCTCCTGATTGGTCACCTCTGCAGTGCGGTAAGGTCACAGTCCAATCAGGACAGTCCTTCCCAAAATGTCCATTAAGGACGACGTCTCCGGCCCGCCGGCCCTTCCACGCTTGGCGCCCCCCGGAGCCTGATGGGCCTTTAATAGGTGAGGAGCACGTCCCGGCAGAGGGGGTGCAGGATTGGAGCAGGGGAACACTAGAAAGGGTCTCGCGCAGATACGCGGCTCAGATCTTATTCCGCACCGGACGTAAAGTTTCCATGGAGTCGTTTTTGTTCAGTTTTGTTAATTAACGGCTTAAGATGCATCGTTTTGACGTTTTAACGCCAAATCGTGCACGCGATTGTGCCGTAAGTCGCATTTTAGCGGTATGTTGGTGACAGTTGTTCTTGGATGTTACTGGTATTGGTGATGAGGTTTAGGGCGAAGGTCAGATTACCGATGAGGGAGACAGAGACTCCTACGGCTTCCCAGAGGGCCAGCTGGTGTGGGTACCTCTTCAGGTAAGACGGCCAGATGTTTATGTTGTTTCAAATCCTGCCCAGGAATCAGGAAGTTTTCCTCTCCTCTGAGGGGGTATATTATGGCGTTGATTTTGCTTTTATCTAATATAGTGAGATTTTCCTCATTTGGGTTAGTATATATTAAATGTACTGCATTGACGACTGGGTATGTGGTCATGATGCTTGGTAAACTGTGGATATGAGATATGTGAGGTTTGTTTTTTTGTTTTGTCTTTTTTTTTTTTTAAATGAAAGCTTTTGTTTGCTTTGTTGTTTGCTCTGAATCACCCTCAGAGTCAGACAGCGGTGTGTGTGTGTGTGTGTGTGTGTGTGAGAGAGAGAGAGAGAGTCCAGGGTAGGGCAAAGATCCTGTCTGGAATCTGCTTCTCTTTACATTCTTTTTACCCTGGACTGATTCCGGATCACCACAGCCTTGAATGGACCGGCAATTAATGAAAGAATGTGGGACGGTGGAGCTTGAGTGGAAGCGAAGATTAGATGCGGACCGCTTGTGCGAATGCGGGCTAACAGCTGGGAATTTCCAACTTGCCAAACGAGGTTTCTAACTCGGGAAGTTTTCTTGATTATTTTTTCACGTTTGTCGTCACTAGGGGCCGCGATGCAGCTCTCTGCCCACGGAGTGCGACTGGCTCAATGTGTACGTGGCTCTCGGCAGAAAAAAAAGGGGGAGATATGCATCTATCTGCCCTTGGCTTTCCTGTTACATAATCAACAGGCATCCTCCATTTAGGAAACACAGCGCCACAGACCCCAGACTTATGGGGCGGCCGCTGACGGGTCCTCAGCGCCGCAGGGTGCTAATTAGCATTCCAACAAGTAGGTGGCGCCATTTACTTCAGTCGAAAATGAACTAGGAGGCATTCAACACTCCTTCTTAGGTCGGGGCTGCCAGGATTTACCTTTGCTTCAAGTTAGGAGCTGGAGCAGACCGTGGGTAAATCCTCTGTCACATCTTCACTAACACCTCTGTGGAGTTAAAGACGCTGCCGGTACGTAATAAAACTCTAGCTGTTTTGGATTAATGTGCTTTAGATAAAGGAACCGAATTTGCAAGAACCTCTTCCTTTAAAGGAAGGAACCTATTGTTTCCATACTGTTAAGATGAGATAAAAAGTGTGACAGTGCAACTTATTTTGTCATTAATATCGCAAAACAAGGTCTGCAGAATATGCGGTGTGCTTTCTAGATTCACGCTTTTTCCGTACTTAAGTGCCAATTAAACTGCATTGGGTCGTTCTGCATGTTTTCTGAATGTCTGTCACAAAGGGCATCATTATCATATCAGCAATTCCAGCATTTTAATTTGTTGCATGAGAGTCAATGTGTCAATGTGTGTGATGTAGGCATGACATCATATGGCTCTTTAAGAACTTAAATCATACTGAGCATACAGCCTGAATGGGAAGAGTCATGATACTCAAGTCATATGTTTGTTACATTAATATGACCTATGATTGGTAGTAGAATTTCAATGACGTTGATAACAATGATAATTATACTTTGCCATTTGTACACAGGAACAAGGATGTTTTTGGTTTTCACATGTCCCAGCTAACTCGTCTCTGTGAATGACTATTTCAGTCGGAGTGTCTTACACTCAACTAACTATTCAAGATGGGAGGTAGATTAAACAGTATGAAGACAAAGCTTACTGATTTACTACCATAATTAATGACACATTTTTGTTGGCGAACCAAAACCCTGGACGATCGAATGATGACAGTAAAAAGGAATCCGCAGTTTCCTTTGCACAGCTTTAACCTGGAGAAGACCTGATGCAGTAATCACTAGCTTAGCTTCTTCTGTAGCTTAAATATTTCTGATTTTTCTTTGACTGTATGGTAAAATTGGCTGGTGGCTTTAATTATGAAGTAGAGGCCATCTCAAGCAGATTGGAGTAAAATTAGTTTTCTGCCACTGGAAGAACAACAGTTAAAATGATGAAAGGAGACTTTGCAAGAGCCAGAAATTAATACTGGGCGAAAAGCACGTGCAGACACTCAGCACACTAATGAAATTTCTTTCAGTAGAACCTGTGCTGTACAGAACGTTTTATTACACTTCAGGAGACCTGAGCTGTGGACCTATGCACTGGCAGGACAGTCTCATCTGACCTCTCCGGCCTGTGTCTCTCTCACTCATGGGAGTTTTACTTACACAAAAATGTTCCGGGCAGAAGAGGAAATGATTGGTTCAAAGAGATAACCAATCAGGTTGTACAGGAGGTGGGTCCAAGCAACAAGAGGAGGCGGGACCAACCGATCAGGACCCACCTCCTCTACAATCTGATTGGTTATCTCTCCAAACCAATCATTTTTCGTTCTGCCCTCAGAACATTTTTGTATAAGTAAAACTTCCCTGTCAGGAAGGTGTGGAAATAGCAGTCGACTTTTCCTAAACTGTCATCATCCTTCCTGTCATAATGGAAACACACAGACAACTATACCTATATACACACACTGTTACAGCCTTTTACTGTATACAGTCTATAACTACAGAAAGTTGTTTATATAAAGCCAGCGATGGTTTTAACCACCACGCAAACCACACATCTGTGTGGGGCCACCAAGGATTGGAGGCCCCCCGTTGGCCACTGAAGGTCACTACACTAAATATTAAATAAACGCGTCCCTCGTTCAGCGAATTCCGAAGCAGCATGTCCTGGTAACCAGCTGCAATCTTCTGACTCGACCTGCTAGCTATTTACTGAGTCTTGATAACATCTGGTGGGGGATTTATTTATTTTATTTTTTTTGGGGTGGGGGGGGGTCGAAACGACAAAATTGCCTCTGTATACAGCACTATGCAAAAGTCTTAGCCAGTCAAAGAAAAGGTTTAAATCAGCTACATGCTGGTGTAAAACTATGATATTATACCTGCTACAGTGTGTCAGCTTAGCCATTTCAAAACCTCAACTAAACTCACCTCAGTTCTTACAAGCCGTGTGTTTGTTGACTATCACTAGCACACCATGTTTGGCTGATCTATATTTTCTTGAGTTATTTAGCTATTTAGTTTAATTAATTAATATATATTATGTTAAATTGTCAGCTTTTCTGAGGAAATATATACTTACTACTCAGAAAAATAGCTTTAAACATTTTCTTTGAGTGCCTATGACCTTTGCATAGTTCCATATCGTGACCAGGATAAGTGGTTGAAAGATGGATGGATGGATGGATGGAAGATGGAAGGATGGAAGATGGATGGATGGAAGATGGAAGGATGGATGGATGGAAGATGGAAGGATGGATGGATGGATGGATGGATGGAAGATGGAAGGATGGATGGATGGATGGATGGATGGAAGATGGAAGGATGGATGGATGGATGGAAGGATGGAAGGATGGATGGATGGATGGAAGATGGAAGGATGGAAGATGGATGGATGGAAGATGGAAGGATGGATGGATGGAAGATGGAAGGATGGATGGATGGATGGATGGAAGATGGAAGGATGGATGTATGGATGGATGGATGGAAGGATGGAAGGATGGATGGATGGATGGAAGATGGAAGGATGGAAGATGGATGGATGGAAGATGGAAGGATGGATGGATGGATGGAAGGATGGATGGATGGATGGATGGATGGAAGGATGGATGGATGGAAGATGGAAGGATGGATGGATGGATGTCTGCATCACAAAGCAAGATTTGTTGGTTGGCTGGATTAAATGGACTTAATCTTTGTTCCTTACATTTTTCCCAGACTACCTTAAATCCGACAAATTATCTTGCTAACCCAAACATCCAGCTTTGTGATACAGGCCTCAGATCCATAGATCCATAGATCTGGTTACCAGAGACATGGATGGTTACTAATAAAACAAACAAACTTCAGGTTTGTTTAGGGTTCGAAAAGCTTTGACACACTTCAGGAATTCAGTAAAATCAGCCCAAAATTTTTAAAGGGCCGGATTTACTAAACAGGGTGAATTAGCGTGGGAGTGCAATACAAACACGAAGGCACCAATGGGAGTGGTCACCTCTGTGGGTGATCTACTAAAAATGTGCAGATTTATGAACAGGGAGGCAATTGGTTCATTCCCGAAAGCCTGACCTTTCCTAATCTACCAAGGATAGAGCAAAATAAGACATTATTTTGCTCTATCATTATGCAATAAGCATTTTTTTTTGCGTTTTTTTTTGCGTTAAATAATGGCGCAACTTACAGTAAATTGCCTATCGCAAAGCCTAGAAAGACACGTTGGTGATCCATTTAAATGCTCTCTTCCCCCAAATTTGGCATTTTGAAAGGGAATTCCGATGAATCAATATCCAATATGGCCAGTCGTGAAATTAACTGTCAACCCCTGTCTGCCGCTAACTTTTCACTGCGCGTCTTTAGTAAATTCCAGTTGCGCTATTTTAACGCCAAAAGGTTTGTGCTGCTGCAAAACATTAGTAAATCTGACCCGCAGTTTCAAATAAAAACCTTTAATGCAAAGAAGATTGAATGCCGATGCTTTTCTTAAGTCCACATGCCTTCAATAAATAAAAAAGAAGGTATGTTAATAATGCATGAAAATAACAAACTTGATAAACATTATTGATTTTGAGGGTATTTTCATTCTCATTTTAAAGCCGACTTCCAAACTTTGATGCATTGTAGAGCAGTTTTCCATAAGATCTCTTCAAAATCCTTGCAAAGTCTTCCCCTAGAAGTGCATCACTCGGCAAGGAGATCGGCCACGTTTTGCGTCTTCCGTTTCCCCACTGAGAACTGCTGCTGCCGTAACTTGTTTCTTTCAATTTAACGACGATGGGGACCATTGGTAGCTCATTAGAGCCTAAATGAATTTCATGCTTTGCAAAGAAGAACATGACAATAATGGAAAACATACTGAAACTGAGAAGGAAATCAAAATTACAAAATGGCTGCAACAGTATAAAAAAACATATGAAAATCTATATTATTTGCGTGCATGAAGGGCACTCCTAACCACACAACTCAAGAGGCTGCAAATCTTAATTTTTCCAGGAAATAGACTACATACAAAGATCAGGAGGACCCAAAGCCAGGCGAAAGGCTTTTTTTTGTGTGTATTACATGTATCAACACCCGGCCGGTCGAAGCCACGGCCTGAAAAGGAAAACACACAATGATTTGACAGAATTAACCTGATATCCGTGACTCAAAGTGTGTGTGTGTGGGGGGGAGGGGCACTGAACAGTCCCGGACAGTTTCATAAAGAATGTCCTGCTCGTGATGTATTTAGAGGGTGTGTCACCCCCCCCCCCCGCCTGGTGACCACGACTTGTAACATTCACTGAATTTCAGCTGACAGCCAAGTCGTTAGGATCCCTCAGCTTGTTTACTTAAATCTTCAATGCACTGAACACCCTTTGTTATCATTTCTGATTTTTTTCCCCCTCTTACTTAATTAAATTTTCCACTTAATGGGAGTTTTGTATGTAGTTGCTGCACTGATGCTGGGGGGGCGAGGCGGATGGGGGGGGCGAGGCAGAGGCTCTGATTGGGAGGTAATTAGCGGGCCGATGAAGGCTTGTCTTCGGCTGAGAGGCCCCACGATGACCCACCTTTTCAGCTGATTCATTAAATCACACAAATGGCTTTCTCGCCCCCCCATACCCCTTTCCGATGTTATTTTTCCCTCCCAGGGTAATTTGCACTCAGTAAATAATTTACGGGCTACTGAAGGGCTTCTTCAGAGCCGCCCCGATTGCCGACCAGGAGATGTGTGACGGTCAGTAAAGCACTGCCCACAAGGACGCCCCCTAATGGTGGGTGATGAGAACACTAGCCAGTCAGGGTTAAGCAGGACTCCCTACTTAACTCTCTGGTGCCCGTGGGGTAGAAAAGAAATCTTGGCAAACCGCTTAAAAAATTTTTTAAAAAGAGCTAAAAGCTTTTGTCATGGAAACATAAACCCCCCCCCTCCCCCCGCACAAACCTTGAACGGTCTACTTTTCAAATATATACGTATGTGTACATGTGTGTATATATATGTAGAAACTAAATATATATTTAGGGATTTGTAAGTGATGATCCTGCAGATGTTACTGGGTCAAGAAAACATGAAAAGTCCCATAAAGAAGAGCACATGTCTGGGGTCTGTTTACACTGACTGAGGAGCTTCCACCTTTTATTGTGTGATGTGAGAGAGTTTTCACTGAGGAAATACGACAATTTACTTCAATTCATGGATAACTGCGAATTCGAGTAAGCAGTGACATTGTAAATTACAAAAAAAGTCACTTGATTTGTAATTTTGATCGCTACTGTAAAAACTTGTCTTTAAGAAGTTCCTTAGATGCTGGTGAGTGTGACAGTGTTTCTAATATTGATTCGGGTGTCCAGCATGTGGCGACGAGGCCCAGATCGTTCTCAGCTTGTCTACGACAGCTGAGAGTTTCCGCTTGGGGCGGCACGGTGGTTCACTGGTTAACGCTGTTGCCCCCCCACCCCCCCCATCCCCCCCCCGACTCTCTGTACCTGAGTTCTGTATGGTTAAGCAAACTGCCTTCTCTATAAACTGCCCTTAGGGTTAAAACTTTCCCGTCCCCAGGTCTGTGTGTGTAGAGCTGGCTTGTTCTTCCGGTCGCGTCCGGGGGCCTAAGCACCTAAACCCAGCATGCAGGCTTCTGCAGCTCCCTGTCGGACATGCTTCAACTTGCCAGACAGACCGTCTCATTACCACTCGTTGTATAAAACAAAAATGCCTATTTTTAGAAAATGTAAATTGTATTTGGAGATAATCTTCCATAAGTGATCGCTCACCAAGGCATTATGTAGAGCAAGCAGGGCTTGAGGATGCGGAGAGGAGAGCTTTGTGACCAGCGGCTCAGACTTACAACATTTTTCATTTAATTTCCTGGCTGTTCTGTTATTGTTTCATTTTTATGAGTATATGCCGTCGCCGGTGTAATTGGCATCACCATTACATGCAAGATTAGGCGTGTAATCAGGTGTTAAATAACAATGTGAGCCAGGCCGCTAAGAGAAGCGGGGCTGTGAACGACACCACGAGCGACACCGCATGCTGAGTGATGCCGTGTGCTGTGTGACTCTGTGAATCAGCGCCCTGCGATCCCCCCAGCATCCTGCAGAGGGCGCCTCTGGCGGCTGGCGTGCGGCTGGGCGGGTTCGGCCTCTCTGTCTGTCATTGTGAGGTCGCTGGTTTGAGCCTCGGCAAAATAATCTCGCCTCTGTTGGGCCCTTAAGCGAGGGCCTCTGAACCTCAGATTAAAGGCTTGACCCTGCATTCAGACTGCAAGCGTTGCTCTGGACTGTGCGTCTCAACAAAAAAAAAAAGAGGTATTTCAATGTACTTTTGCAAATAATCAAATCATCTTTCTTTTTACCAAACCATGACCATTTATAGTCATATAAAAAGTTCTTTGTACAACGTTACATATGCATGACATAGTAGAGCCCTGAGACGTTTAAATAGCTGCCAAAAACATCTGTCCACTTTAAAATAACAATTTTACACTTTAAAATAATAATAAGGTCATAATAATAATGGCACTTGGAAAATGAAAGAGAAGCAGCAGTAAACGTGTGGCGGGGAGTGATCTGTGCTCTCACTGGGAGTGCGTGCGACATCAGCTGGGACGATGGATTTAAAGCAGGCCAAGTGAGACGCTAGGACGGGATTCAGTATAGCGAATTTAGGGTGAATGGCCTGGAAAAAAAAAGAATCACAGACTACACTGGGTTCGTAGCCTTTGCCTTTATTTGTTTGTCCTGGTTTTGCAGCTTATCACACATTTGCAGAAATGTAATATGTGAAATCCAGTCACAAGTGGCAGAAGGAGATTCGAATATCCCCCTGCACACCTGGATGCTCTATGCCACTGATTTTCTTTTTGTTTTGATCAGTAAAGAGCCGTTTCCTGCAAGCCTCTGCGCGCCGTCCTGTGTCCTGATGATAGGGTTATAATTAGCTACTCGGAACAGAGCAGACTCTTCGCACTGATGATGGATGCCACAACCGGTCTAATGGTCCAGATGTTGGCAGTCGCCCGCAGGTGTTACGGTGGGGTGACGGCGGGATTTCACGGCAGGGAGGCGGCGTGGCCGCTTGTTCTACGGGGCGATTAGACCAGAGGCTTTCTGCCACTAGTAACCCAAAGACTTGGCTGGTCTCCGCGTTCGCATTCGCACTTGAGGCGCTGACGCCGCTCCGCGCCGATGACAGCCGGTCATTAAGCGTCTCCTGACGTATGCTAACCGGGATCCGGTCAACGTCAGGCGACTGAAGCCGCTTCAGAGACGTCTAGGTCCGAGTCTCTGAGGAGCGACCCAGACAGGGGTCCAGCCAACTGACAGGTGAGGCATCTTATCCAACCTGCTGTCATTTCCTGTAGGGATCTTTTTTAATCATGTGTGCCATTCCAAGAGGACACCAGTTGCAAAACACAGATTACTCATCGGCGCCGAATACCGCCAAACGCTGCAGGGATAAATATGTTCCCGAAGCAGCTCATCCGTTGGGAGACCATTTCTGGGATCCTTTTTAACAAGCTGGAGTAGAAGATTTCTTCTGTGGCGGCTGTGATGCAGTGGAACAGAGAAGCAAAGAATGTTTACCGGGGTTTGATTCCGGAGCTGGATTCTGTGGCGTCCAATCATGGCTGGGGAGGGCGCCACGTGTTGAAATCGAAACAGGTGCCCGGGTGCAGAAGCTAATCTGCTCTGTTTAGGCATAGCCGGCCTCTGAGGCTCTCCGAAAAACACCTGTGCACAGCCGTTACCATGAGCCACTCCGGCGAGGCCAATTATCTGGGGGAACCAGGGAAGCGTTTAAACTCGTCTCCTCGCAAACGCCAGAGTCCTTCGGGGAGGATCGATGCCTTTTCTTAGCCTGCCTAATTATCTACGGCTTTTCCCGATGAGTAGTTAGTTGGAAATGAATAGGGAGGGGAGGGATTTGCCAGCAGCCAGGCAGGTAGGAGACAGGCAAGGGGTTTGCCTTGCGAAGAGGTGCCGTTCCTTGTCTGCGGACGCAGCCGCCGGTGCTCGACCCGCGACTTTCCGCGCTCTTCTGCACTGAAGCGACAAGGGGGAGTGTTTACTCCCCTCCTCGGAAGCCCCGAGGCGCACGCTCCGTCTCCGAGGAAACACTGCAGGCCGCCCACTCGGTCACTGTCACTGGTCCGCCTTCTCCTCCCGTGCGACAGAGTTCCTGGCCCGTTCCAGGGCTGGGTCACAGGGCGAGGGGGGTAACATGACTGTCAGAGCAGGAGGAGAGGAGGATGTTGCTTAACAGACATCTCCTCCGGCAGGTCGGTCCAGACCACTGTGAAGAGACCGCCTGACGGGGCAGACGGAGACATGTTCCTGTTGACCGGGAACAAGGGACCTCAAAGCAATGGAAGAAGGTAGGGAAGTCAGCCGGACCCGCACCCTGTACCATTCGGAGAGTTAACAGCATGTTCTCATTGTCTTGTATTTGATCCATATTCATTTCTGACCCTTTTTCCTTTGATGTCTGTGTGAGTGATACATTCTCATTGAGGCAGTTAGACAGCATTGTTATGATGAAATTAAACTCAGAAGCAAAATGCACTGAGCAAATGAACACTTAATCATTTGTTGTGTAACAGAAAAGATTTGTTTTTTTGTTTTTCTCTTTCCTGACAGTTACCTTTTGCAAGTGAAAACACTAGTGGAAAAATAACTCACTATGTGTTTTGTATGCAGTTTACAAAAAACCTTTTATACACTTCTGAATGCAGCCTGACGATTACGTTTTGTTTAGATTCAGAATAAAACAAACATATAAACTTCACTCTACCTCTTTTTAAACATAAAGGGAAATAATTGCTCAGAATTATTTTCATTCAGTTAATTTAATCTAGCTAATTAGTGTGAATTTATGAGTGTTGCTTACATGTCGGCCAGATTTTTCCTAATTTGCTAACAACTGTTCTGGAATGGAATATCATAGTGATGGATCAGTATCCCAGCCATGAAGTTCTTCTGCTCCATGTGCTTCTTAAGATTTTTTGAAAAGGATCTAGATCTTATGGAAAACGAAGGATGGCTGGTTAGTAGGTCTAGTTAGAAAACTGCGTTGTGTAGCTGTAGTGATCAACAGATTGATCGACTGAAGGGCATTACTTTGGGTTGAACAATGGGGGGGTTGAGGTCTCCAGCCATCTAGAGGGCTCCAGGGGCATGCATTGGTCTGTTTTGATTACTGGGGGGTCACAACCCCCCCCCATCGCCCCATAATTTACACCCGTAGATTGACTTGCATCTCAGAAATGAGAAACCAAAGTCTTAGGTTAAAAAGCAATATATACAGACAATACAGCAGATGTTTTTGACCGTAAAATCTAAGGTAATAAGCCAATGACATTTACAAAATCCATTACTACAGAACCAGAAACCAGCCATATGTAACCCAGCAAAAGAATCACTACATCAGCATTTTATAGAATTTATACAAGACTAAGTGGGAGCAAAATGTTGTATTTCTTAATAATGAGAGTTATACTGAAAGATTAATATTTTTTTAAATTTCGCATGAAATCTTTGCAGCAAATGGGGATTTTAAAGTAGTTTTTATGAATTGTAAAAGGTTGTGAAAAAAATTCACATGCTACATTAGGAGAAGGCAACAGTTTTTTTGAAAATGGGCTTCACAGGATTTTGAATGACCTTTCAGTTAGCAGAAATGCCAGATGTGTAGATAGGTGGATGCCTCATTAATCCCAAAAGTGCCAGAAATTCAGGAAGGACGGGGGTGTGGCGCTGGTGAAGCAGGAGGCGGCAGGACAAAAGCCAGATTCCTCTGTGACACTTCCGGAAGTTCTGGAGTCAAACGATTCACAGTCATGGCTAATCCAATAACGGGCTCTTTAATCAAATTTCGTGCATGTATGTTTGTTTCGTGCACCAGGAAAATCTACCAGAAAATCCATCAGTATGAGCTGAAGGACAAGAGGAAGGCGGTGAGGGCATATAAGGCTGGAGAAGATCGGGCCATCCTGCTGGGCCTCACTATGGTCATCTGTGCGGCCATGATGTACTTCATCCTCGGGGTCACGGTGGTGCGTCCATACTTAGACAGGTACCACTCGAACGCTCCTCCCTGACCTCTGACCTCTAACAAGCTCCTTCACGTGCAGAATCCATGCACCCTCAATTAGATCAGACCTCACTGCTTTTGATTTTGTCCCTGGATTTTAAACATGCAATAGTGATTCAATTATACATAAAATGCTTTTTAATAAAAACTCATCTCTAACAATTAGACTGGTAATTATCACTTACACGTTACTTCTATTATAAATAAAATCTGTATTGTTCGTGATATATTGATACATGTAATATATGAAAAATGCAACATTCGCGGACAACTTACTCTACAAAGAGCAAGTTGAGGGAGGCGTAAAGACAATTTCCCCATGTGGATTAATAAAGTATCAATTATTATTATTATTATTATTATTATTATTATTATTATTATTATTATTATTATTATGAAACATTTGAAAATCCCAGGACAAAATCTAATCCCATAAGGATCTCAGCATCTTCTGTTACTGTAAACTTGCATGAAAAAGCTACATAATAATGTAATGTGGCACAATATTTCCTGAAGGAGTGATTCTATCCCTTAAGTGATTACTACCCTGCAGACTGGAAACTGCTAATCTCTCCTAACTACTGCATTAATGTGTTTGCCTACAGTTTTTTTCATAAATAAAGAATTAATAACAGAATTCATCCCGTTCAATAATTTCATCCATTCAAATAAGAATAGAATTGCATACAGTAACATAACACTTAGCACACACACGATCTAATCTCCCAAAACTAAGCCAAGTGCTAATCCTTGTCTAGACATGTCATCATTTCACATGTCGTGAGAGAAGAGGCCGGTTTGAGCGTGTAAGGATATCATTTCTGTGTTGCCTGCTAAGCCGCTGTCTCTTGCCACAAACTGCAAATCTTCCCTAACAGCACTAAATATGAAACTGAGGACTTATCTATTTTATTTTAAAGTGTATTATTAAAATCACAGAGTGCAACGCTAAAGTCAGTTCCTCAAGCAAGTCATTTCGGATATCGCTCACTGCACAGTTAATTTGTCTTTTCCTTAATTTTCTCAGTTTACTTCTGATAACATGTAACTTTTAAATTTATCACTACAAACTAAGCCATGTTTCATACAGTTTGGTCAAGTGATAGACACGTTGGTCTCATTGGATCTGCAGAATGAATGATGAGATCCGTCCCTTGGTCTCTTGAGCAATAAATGAACTGAAATTAGCTACGTATGTCACATGATGTCACCCCTGCCCCTCATATTCCCCCCACATTATAACTGTAAGATACATCCAAACTTTATTGAAAGGCTGAGACTTTAGTGCACTGAGAGGGGTAGCTGATCTCCTGTGGGCTGTGGACATCATTGACCTGACAAAGTGATCCCACCCACCACTGAACACTCATGTCTACACCACTGCTATATGGGTTGTCCTCCTATTCTCCATGCGCTGCATGTTCTGCCCCTTTGTGTTGACATCCAAGTCAGCTGATTCAACCCTCCAATGTTTTTTTCCTCTCACCTCCTCCCCCCTTCCCTCCATCCAAGCGTGTGGACAGAGGAGTCCATTTGCACCGTTCTCAACTCCACAGTGATAGCGGAGATGAACTGCAGCTACAGCTGTGGGATCGACTGCCGGGGGGTCGCCAGGTACCCCTGCCTGCAGGTGTTCGTCAGGATCAACGCCTCTGGGAGGATCGCCCGGCTGTCCCAGAGCGAGGATTCACAAGAGCTGAGCTCACAGGTCAGCAGAAATCCTCACCTAGCATACAGAATGCCGTGCTTACATTTAGCTTACTGGCTCTATAACAGCAACTCAGTTTCCTACAGAGACATATTTACCCGCAGCTTTGCTTTTTAAGAAAAATCTTATAAAGACAGAATCTCCTTCAAATCAGTCCTTTGCAAAAATACACAATCAATATGCACAGCAGGTAGCACGGCGTGATTACATTAAGAGAACATGAATCTTAATTATTTCAATTATAAGTATGAATTATAAGTCAGTTGTGACAGAAAAACACTGAATATTATTACTAAGAATTATATGTTTGGAGTTATTAACAGTCGACAACAATCGTTTAATCAGCTTGAATAATTACAGAATTAATTATGGTAATGATACGACGAAGAGGCACATTCGACATCCTTAAACGATGATGAATATGAACTACTGTGTTTCCTAACTTGCCCCCCCTCCCCCCACCCCCCCATCAGTGTTTTTACATGCCAAAGTGCAACAGGGACCAGACAATGGCACGGGTGGTGATCAGGAATATCACAGAGCGCCTTAGGGTCCGTCAGCGCTTGCCCTGCTTTCACGACCCCAGCGAGCAACAGGAGAACGTCCTCCTTACGCGACAGCACGGAGACGCCGGCGCGCTGCAGTCACTCCTCTGGCCCTCCTGCGTGCTGACCATAGGACTGATCATCGTGCTCATGGTCAAGCTCACGCAGTACCTGTCTACGCTCTGCGACAATATCAGCAGGGACAAGAGGTGAGGGCGCCCTCTAGTGGCATGGAGGATCATCGGGATCGTCACTTCAAAGCTTTTAAAGGAATCTCCGTGTGCTGCTTTAATCTATTACCTTCTCCTCCTGTGAATGAGCAATCATCTGCATGGATGACCCAGGGGGTCTCACTCAGCGTCCAGCAGGGGGCATCGAATCACTATGTCAGCCAAATCCGATCTTCACACATAACAAGCACAAGTCCTGTTTGGAAGCTAAACAGAGATATGTGGGATACAATGAGTATACTATAGCCTACAGAACTTGTTGGACAGTCACGCAAATCTATCACAGTTGGGTCAAGAGGGTAAATCGCTTTACCCGAAGATCTAAGTGTCTGTTCGACAGTTTCTAACACCATGTCTGTCTGGAGTAAGGATCAGCTCTCACAGTTCCGGGAGAACAGCATTTCACGCTGTGCTGTCAAACATGTCAAAAAGAGCACAAAGCTTCATTAAGCGTTTAGGATGCTGATGTGCGGTGGTGTCGAACGAGGACACTGACTGGGGAGACATAAGGCTGGAAATAGACGGGTGACATTTGATGACCCCTCACAGATTAATAATCATCAGAAAATGTGTCTTTTCTGGACGCCGCGGTGCAGCTGGAACGGTGCTGATGTTGTCTGTGGTGATCTTCAGACGCCGGGGCGTTGGGACATGGGTGGAAAGAAAATGCTATGAGAGCAGAATAAGCTTTCGTAGCAGGAAGGCCAGAAGCACAAGCACGGCTTGTGATGATGAAGAGTGTTACGGTTTACATTTTTGTCGCGGTCCGATGAAAAACACGTATGTCCAAAACTCTAATATTTCAGCAGCGTCAACAAAGGCATGTTCTCAGAAAGTGCTTCACACAATCAACGTAGAACAAAGTAATAAGACAGCCGCCAGTGAATGGTCTAATGTTTTAAATGTATTACATGGATTACTGTCATTATGGCTAAAATGTCATCAAGATGGAAACTACTCTTGCTTTATATTCATAATTAACAATGACGTTAGTTAGCTAGCTATCTAGCTGTCAGTGGTAAGTTGTTAAAATCAGTGATATAAAGTAATCCATGTAAATCATCTTGGGTATGAGGTGCCGGTTCGAATGCATTTTCGGCAAAATCGTCACATCTGTGGGCCCTTCAGCAAGGCCCTTAACCCCCAGCTCCATGGGCATCCCTACGGGTGGCTGCCCTTCGCTGTCAGGCTTGCTGTCACCTACACGTGTCTGTGTCACAGAGAGCAAGATGGGACCAGTGAAAAGAGAATTTCCACACAAGGAGTCAATAAAGTCATATTAATATATAACAAATGTTAACTAGTACAAACAGAAATACTAGTTAAATAGATGACTTCGTACAGCATCATCATACTTCGTACAGACAAAACATCTATTTGTTGGTCAGTTTCGATGTTAAATGCTCAAATCAGAGGAGAATCAGCATATTCCATTTATAACGAATATGTCAAAAAGTGGACATACGTGGTTTTCATCAGATATCAACATAGTGTCAAAATATAAGGAGGGACAGGTTGGTAGCTATATCACATGTTGATGACATGATTTATTTGTCCCTGAGGGACATTTTCTGTGGCAGTCTGGGCACAAATACCAAAAGCCAATCAGTCCTCTAATTAGTAATGTAATTAGGGAGTTGCGGCGAAAACCCGCATACACACCGGCCCTTTGCGGATAAGACTGGCTAGCCCTGGTCTAATGTATTAGGATGCTGGAGGAGGAAATTTAAACAATGAGTGTGTCAGGTGTCAACTAAATTACTAAAATGCCATTGTATCATTTTATCAATTTTTTACTTTTTCTGTTACTTCAGCTGCTAAGTACAGCTGGTAGAAAATGAAACCAGTGTGAGGCGTTTGCATAGCATGCTGTGATTGTGCTCTCTCAAAGCGGTCAGCTATTTTGTTACTGAAATAAACATTGGGGCTTATAAATCTAATATGTGCACATTTAAACAACACATTTTAATTTTATACCGGAGAAATTTTATACAGGAGAAATTTGGTATCATATGCTCACGCTCTGCACAATGATTTGTCAGTCTGCCCCCAAAAGTCATTACATTGGCTGGGAATCTAAACCAGGTGGCAGGCAAGAATTAAACCACTGAGCCACCAATGGCAACACGAAACCTGATCTTCTTGAGAGTCCCTCAGTCATATTGTGCTGTACACTTGAGCAGCTGTGACCATTAGAACTTACAGAAAACAGATGTTTCCCGGCTGCTGTGTGTATTTCCCTACAGCCTCGCCTCAGGACATCAGAGGTAACAACACAGTCCATCAGCTGTGTAAAAACCCACCCACTGCCCGACCTCCCGGGTATGTCGACCACCTACAGGTTCACTGGACGTGCATTACCTTTCTACCGAAGTGGTGAAGATTATCTAGCAGGATGCTAATCCTTCATTAGCACGTCAGGAGGCTGTATGTTAGCAAGAACTAAACGATGCATCCAGTATTGGCAAGAATTCTTTAAGTAGACATTTATGATCTCAGCTGTACCATGAAGCCTGATCAGGGACAGTGGTGCATCAGGGGAGATGGTCAGGGAGAGCTGGATGTCATCAACATAGTAGTGGTTATGTGACTTGATGATTGTAGGTGACCAAAAACTGAGCCATGAGGCACACCATTTCTCACCTGATGTGACTTGGATGCCCCTGCATTCCGAAACAAAGAATAATTTACGTGACATGAAAGAGCCACACTATCTCAGAGCACACGGGTGATTTTACCGAGGGTACAATTGTACCCCCTACTGGTCAGATGAAAATGCTATTTGAACATATTATGTAAAATAAAATTTAAATATATCACAAAGTTATATTTCAAAATGTTGTTTGCGTTAGTCATATCAACGTGTGATAATAATTTATTGTAAATGAATTTATCTGCATGAAGGACTGGTTCGGTTCTACCATGGGTCATTCCCGGAGGGGGAAGCCCTAGAGCCCCCGAAGTCAGAGCAGTCCCTGAATTGCCAAGTTGAGATAACATGAACAGGTGGATCTGGCAGTACACATCAACAAAATTTTACATCCCTACTTCATCATTGAAATGTTCAGCAAGTTCTAAATCATTTGAATCTATGTTTTGCAGCTTAGATTAAAATATATTTTGTTTAGATCTGGCTCTTTGGGAATGAAAAAAACACAAGCCGAATGATCTTTACAAAATGTGTTGAAAATGTATCAGACAAATATTCATTGCCATCTAAATTCAGTCCATGTGGTTTCAACATGTACAGGAATACAGAACTGAATATTCATTTTTGCTAATGCGTCTGGCTCAACGTCAACGGAAGACTGTATGAATGTAGCACAGAACGCCGAGTGTTTATACCCAGAGGGCTTTTAAGCACCAGGTCATCCATGATGTCTGAACCCCCACGATACTTTATGAAGGAAGCGGTATGAATGCAACTGAGTTAGGGGTGAGTGCTAATCAACAAAGAGGATGTAAAACTCCGACACGAGCGCCCGACTGAACAGGACTGTTGATAGATGAGCACTTCCCCTCTTACTCAAGCAGGAAAGAGATGGAGTCCTGGCCAGAGGCCTCCGCCAGCCCAACACTTCCTCTTAATTCAAATTACAAAGAAGTGCTTGTCTTCCACGTAGCAGCAGGTCCAAATGCTCTGTTATCGGGCCCTGAAGTGTTTTTCTTTAAGAAAACAACGCAGCCTCAAGAGAGTTTCACTCAAAACCAAGCATTTCTCCAGGAAGGAAAATAATTATCGCAATTAACAAAATAATACAGTTTCATCAGACACTTTTATTATGAAAATCATCTGGCAGCATACGGAATTCCAAAAGAGTGAAACCCAGGCATGCTCCATGGGGAGGAATAATAAAGGTACAAACATTATTGAGATAAACAAAGAACAGTCAAGACAAAGAGTAACCCAAATAAATAAAAATAAGCAAACAAATCAATTATTTCTTAGAAGTCCTGACTTGAAAAATGCAGTTTTAATCGATCACAGCACTGACATGAGAAGTTGTGCCATATGGATGAGTAATGAGCCAAGGCAGCGTTGATGAACACAGATGTGATGGCAGGATGATATCACGGCTTTAATAACAGGCAGCAGTCTCTCTGAAGATGACCACAACCTGTCCCGATACAAAAGTCAAACATGGTGGCATGGGGCCCCCTGCTGGCCAAATAGGAAAATGCAACTGCCAACCCCGAAACCTGCAACGTAACATAGAAATCACTGACATAGCACTGCAAGAAAAAAACTTTGTCCCGTGTAAGTAACAGCCCACACACACACAGAATCCAAATTTGCTCCATGCTCAATGCTGACCCCCCACGATTCCAGGACTTAACCCTTATGCTCCCATACTACTCAATAATCCAAAGGGGGGTTAGGGTCCCCATGACGCAGTTGGCTGAGTAGGAGGGCAGGGGTGGAATTACGTGGCCACCCCACAACAAGATAAAAAAAACTAAATATGCATCATTTTTATTTTCTAAGTGGAAACATAGAATATACAGGGTGTGGTGCAGCCACCCCCAAAAACACAACTGCCCCCCAAAGGGCGGCGCGATCACCAGCAGCAGCAGGGAGGATGAGAAGCGTGAAAGAAAATACGGGACAAAATCACAAAATGGTTTTACAAAGATCATTTTTCAGGGTAGATCAGACAAAAGAAACCTGAAGCCACGCCAAAATGCGGCCTAGAACCGGCTATGCTTTATGCAACAGACTGGAACCTGTTCAGCTGTTTACCCAGAGTGCACTGTGTCTACTGCTGTTTCTCTGACTCACCTTGTGCTTCCTCAGGTCTGACCAGAAATTTTCAGTATAATTTTGTCACGTCTTAATCATTTCTTTTCCTGCATATTTACCGGTTCAGGCCTAACCAGATGATCAAGCCATTCGTGAACAGTACACTTCGGAGTATTTTTTTGAGGAAGACTTTCAGTACTATTTAAAGCTTATTCATTTCCGAGTTGCCCAATACGAAGAATTTGCTGCTGCATATTTTCAGGGGCGGCAAAGGGGAACAAAGGGAATTAAAGAGAGCAGATGCCAGGATATATCATGTGTCTGATACTCTGATACTGAGCAGCTGTTCAGATGTGCCTTTAGTGGTGCCTGATTAAGCTCAATGTGTCTCTGCTGGGAAACACCCCCAAATCTGACTCATTTCCTCTAACCGGTCACTGCTCATTTCGGCAGAGTGAAAAATTGGCAAAGGAAAGTTATCGCAAGCCATTTTGTGGGCTGATCTCTAAAATAACTAAGACTGCTGGACTGAACAGTTAAAAAAAAAAAAAAAACAGAAACTCATTATAGTAAGTGCATTTTCAATCAGATATATTTCTGGATATTTTTAAAACAGATGTGTCTTTAAAAGCCATTACTCAGAACTTCAACGTAAGGGTCAACCTCCCAGACAACAAAGAATGTATTATGGTTGACATGAGGCACAAAACGATGAGTCATTTTTAACACATGACAGATAACAATAAATTACAGTGGATATGAGGTAAAGAACATAGTATTCTGATGGTTAAATCTTCTTCAGGATAGCAGCTGAAAGCACATTAAAGAGATTCATTGAACCAAAGCATTGCATTCTGGATTGTCAAAGAAGAGTCCATGGCGGACAACAAAGCCGACTGGCTGCTTCATTCAAAGGATGTAAATGTTCCAATAAAGCCCATTAAAAATGGCAACTGAGAGTATATTTCACATAATGCAGTCACAATTAAAATGAGGTAAAACCGAATTTGCTTGGAAAAAAACAGAAAACAACAATGACAAAATATGTGCACCACCTCACATTTTCACACATTACAGATTAAATAGTGAACACTATCACATTTTAAACATAAGGCCAACACCTATTATTGGGTTCAAAGCTGCCTCTGGTAGCAATATATGTGCAATGATGATGTCCCACTGTATTAATAAGTCCGGGTAACGTGCAACACTGGGACTTTAATGAGCTTCTTTCTGAAGGATTCCCAGGTGACCTTTCAGCTTCCCATGACAGGAAATCACACTGTGTCCTGGGCCTAACAGTCCTGGAAAGGGCCTCCTGCCCAAAATAGGAGTTCTGTGGAACGTTGCCCAGAGAAACACTGCAGGACACTTTAAAAACCCATTTTTAAAACCCAAGAGCACCTGGGCTTTCAAAAATAAGACTCTTCTTCTTTTTTTTTTTTTAACCATAAAAGTGCAGTCAGAACTAAAAGGTAGCTTCACACAACACAAGAGACAGGAAATAACTAGAATGTCCATTTCAAATGCACTAAAAAGATTGGCCAGAAGACCTGTAAAATGTTCAAAAACAGATTTCCAGATACTGTAGGTTGCATAAACTTAAATGGACAACAACAACAATAAAATAATAATAAAATAATAATAATAAAATGATAATTATTGTAACATATATTTACTTAGTAGGTACTTTTATCCAAAGTGTTGTATATGTTCTTTCTTCCTCAGTGGAAACAGGGTCAGAGCAACTGGCAGTGAAGAGTTTCGCTTACGGGCCAGAGTCACATACCAGACCGATTACGATAATATTTATTGTATATTAATTGAAAAAGTAAGAAAATGACGACAAAAAGGACAAGTGTTACGCAAAATCGTTTCTGCATAGCGCTCACATCACCTTCCATCCAGGCTCACAGAAGATCACACAATCACAATGCTGCCTCACTTATTTCGACCATCTTACTAAGTCACTTAGACGCACGGAGCCGCGTTAATCTGCAATACTGAGACTCATACAACGATGCCGATCGAGTGACTTAAATGCACTGAGGACGGAATATTCTGTGGAAACTTCTCACATTCGCCTTTTGACCCCTCCCACATTCATTACGGTAGGGAAAGATTGGGTGCGCGGCTTCCACCGTAAATTACGTACTAAATTTCTATTTCTGCAACATCTGCTTTAGAACTTCCTGCTTC